TTTCCTTGGCACTACAGCCCCAGTGGGCCTAGGCCTACCTCCATGAACTTCCCCGTTCACTTCGGTTTTTCTAGATCTTACACATTCGGTAGGACTTCTTGAGCGGGTGATCAGCTCGTCGCAAGGCTTCTACCTGTATACAAACATAGAAAAACGCACACACACAAACTAAACATCCATGCGTTGAGTGGGATTCGAACCCACGATCACGGTTTCCAAGCGAGCGAAGACAGTATATGCCTTACACCGCTCGGCTACCTTGACCGGCTTGAGAGATATTTACCCAGTCCAATTTATTCATCGCAGATCAGAAATGGACTACACGTAGGACCGAACCCAGCCTCCAAGGTGAAAAGCCGCCAATTACCGTATTTACGCATGTATAGGCCGCGTGCGTGTATAGGCCGCAGCACAATTTTCAGACAGAAATTATAGAAAAAATATTTTTCTTTGAATATTATTACTAATATTACTAATGTATTACTAATTATGAATATAATTTTTTTAAATGAAGTGTGATTTCGAATATTTCGAATATAAGCCGCACCCCAGTTTTCCTCTTGAATATCTGGCAAAAAATGTGCGGCCTATACATGCGTAAATACGGTAGTTCCATAATTCCTGGCATGGCCTAACGAATTGACTAATTATATGGGACTAGAACACGACTCACACTAATTCCCGTAACCTCGCAGTTACACTCACCTGGGTGTGGTTCCCGTCCACGAAGAACTCCGTTAGAGAAGTGCCCTGTCCCGAAGAAATAGCTGGCCCGTTGAATTCGTCGAACACTCCCCCTTCGCCTTGACTCTGCGCATCGAGTCCGTCCGACTGCCCCGTTTCGCAGAACGTCTTGAAACCATCACTAGCCGTGTCTCCAATTCGGAACAGGGAGAAGGATCTGTCATGGGACCGGCCTGAAAACGATAAACATGAACCATTGCTGCAGGTCCGCATGTAAACTAAAGCAATCGCACAGACACTTTCTAGAGAAACTGATATTTGCTAAGTTGGCCAAGAAATTCCCCTCCTTATACAAAAATAAGGGCAAATTATCGCTGGGCCAACTGAATTCAGCCCTCAACCTCATGCCCTTTTAATATTACTCCTAGCTCTTGTAATAAATTGAGGGAGGAACATAGACTGAGGGTGCTGAGTAGAATATTTGGACCTAAGAGAGATGAAGTGATAGGAGGTTGGAGAAAACTGCATAATGAGGAGCTTCATAACTTGTACTCTTCTCAAAGTATAATCAGAATGATGAAGTCAAGGAGGATGAGATGGGCAGGGCATGTAGCATGAATGGGGAGAACAAGAATGTATATAGGATATTGGCGGGAAAGCCAGATGGAAACAGACCACTGGGAAGACCAAGATGTTGGTGGGTGGACAATATTAAAATGGATCTTAGAGAGATAGGATGGGATGGGATGGACTGGATTGATCTGGCTCAGAATAGGGACCAGTGGAGGGCTCTTGTGAACACGGTAATGAGTGAGTTTTGCAATAAATTTCTTCTTTTGAGTCTCCCCAACTAGAACTGTATGCACAATTTTCACCACCCCCTCCTGTGTGCTGCGCACCCAGCGCACTGCATTCTTCTTCATTTCATCGTCTTAGCATACCGCTAGGAAAACCTAGACGTAGGGGGGGGAGATAATATTAAAATGGATCTTAGAGAAATTGTATGGCCTCTTACGGGCTGCATTGATCTGGCTCAGGATATGGACCAGTGGTGGGCTACTGTGAACACGGTAATGAGCCTCCTGGTTCCATAAAATTTTGGTAAACTTTTCAGTAACAAATCAATCGGTGGATTCTCAAGAAGGACTCAATCCCATGGAGTTAATTGGTTCTTAATGCTTCTGTCACAAATTTTTATTATTTTTCAGGTTATAAATAAATTCAGTTCCTTGGGGGCGTAAGGGCTGTATTTTTTTTCCGTAGGGCTCTATAGCCCATTGGACCTTGGCCGCTTTTCCAGTTTCTTAATCCAATACACAGTCCGTAGAACTCCTAGAACGGCGGATCAGCCCGTCGCAAGGCCCCTAACTACACACAGAACAACACAAACAGAATAAACGCACACAGACATCCATGTCTCGAGCGGGATTCGAACACACGAAGGCAGTGTTCGGGCGAGGGAAGACAGTTCAAGACTTAGACAGTGCAGCACAAGGAATTTAGTTCTGTCTCGTATGGTATATATATATATATATACGTATAAGTACGTTCCGGACATTGTGTCCTTGTTACACTTATTCCTCAAAATGTGCAGTTAGCGCCATTACAAACTTATGGACAATATGGCGGAAAACAAAACGATGAACAATATCATTATACAGTTTTATCGACCCCTCCCCTTTACTTCGTCCCTCTTACCATCAAATATTTTACTCAGCACCCCGTTTTCATATGTCTTCAATCTATGTTCTGGCCTTAGAGTGGGAAGCCATGTTTTACATTCAAGAAAATAAGAAGCAAACCTATAGTTTTGTGGATTTCTTTTATTCCGAACAAAAAGAGTGGCAATATACAATGAGTACAGATGGCTCCTTTCCCGGGTGCAAATCAGCCGGAGCGTGAAGCTGACCACTCATTTCCATAGTGCCGAGGTCAGGATTGATGGAGCTATAACCCTACTCCCCCATACGTCTTCATGGAATAGTACTTAATTAATTAAGCATAGGGTCAAGTGGGATTAGTGGCGCACAAAGTGGCGCTGGGGCAGGTTTTCTCCGAGTACTTCGGTTTCCCCTACCAATCTTCATTCCACCAATTGCTCCACAATCACCCTCACCTATCATCTGGGGCTGGTACAATAGGCCAGAAGTGGCCGCGGTACAAGGGACTTAGTCCCACCCCACTAGCAATAAAAATATATATATTGAATTGCAAAGGACTGTCGAGGAATTGGTAAAGATCTATTTCAAGGTAGACATATTATTCGCCTGGAATAACTGAGGAAAACTGCAAGAATAAAATATGGGGAGGCCACCATCCCCTTCGAGATTTGAACCAAACAAAACGGAGACGCTTCACTATTACTCCCCGTCTGGCTCGACGTCGTCTTATTCGACTGGCCGGCCTTGCGTCATGAAAATGGATTTACACTGCGAAATGAAGTTCAAAGTAGAGCAGCTCGAATTCGTGGGAGGCGAGGTTCAGTGACGCGTTCAACACGTGTCGGACAGAGAGCTTCTGGTACATGTTTAACTCAGCGACTGTTGATTTAAACTTGAAATATTTACAATACGAATTCGCAAAAGACTGCGCTGCCATGATTAGTTCAATATTCAACTGTCAAGTTCACGCTTCTTCTAGAGAGAGATAGAACAAACATAAGGAGGCACTTCGGAGTCACAAAGAAATGAAAGTGCTTCATTTAGAACAGGTCTATAGAAATAGCGGCGAGCCGGAATGGCGCAGTCGGTATAGCGATTGGTTATTGGCTGGATGACAGAGGGGTCGGAATTCGAGTCCCTATAGGGTCAACAACTTCCACTTCACCATGTCGTCCAGACCGGTTCTGGAGCCCACCCAGCCTCCTTTCCGATAGGTACCGGTGGGTCCCTGTGCTTAACTAATTATGCATTACGCCATGAAGGTGTATGGGGGAGTGGATACATAGATCCACATTTTCTTAACCTCTGCACTACTTGGAGGTGAGTGAGCCCCAGAGCCGGTCTGGACGACGTGGAGAAAATTCTTAACCTTACTGAGAGTCGAACTACGACCCGTCAGTCGTCCAGCCTGTAGCCAGTCAAAATAAAACAACAAGGGAATTAAATGTTTCACAAGCATTCGGAATAATCCTGCAATTCTGTCTCTGTGTTCAGTAAACAACGTCCTCTACTGCTAGCCTCCACTCTCATTAAACACAAAAGGTGGTATATCTGAAAGTGCCTTATCATCTGTAATGTTGAACTCACGTGACTTAACAACGTTATTCATATTTTTTTTTTCAATTTCAGCCCATTCAGGGCCAAGGCCTTTATTCAGTTTCGTAATAATTTTTCACAGACGGTAGGACTCCTTGGACGAGTGATCAGCCCGTCGCAAGGTCTCTACCTAAACACAGGATAACATAAACACAGAATAAACGCATACACACATCAAACATCCTTGCCATGAGTGGGATTTGAACCCACGATCCCAGCTTTCGAGCGAGCGAAGACATTACATGTCATCGACATGTTATTTACAATACCTGAGGTTTCACAGCGGTGGCCATGAAGAGTCCATCTTCTGGGGTATACTGCCGTGTAGTCTGTTGAAAGTCAACCTATTTGATTTTCAAGGGATAATAGGCCGTTATACCCCAGGAGATAGGACTTCATGTCACCATACCGTCATGGCTACCCTGAGTAAGACATAAATCCTAGTACAAAACTGGCCAGATCAGTGAATGTTGTAAATACAAAGTAAATTACAACCCTTAATAAATATCAGGTGAAAGTAAAGCTATCCCTGTAACAAGCTGTGAAGGCCCATAGGGTTGTGAGACGTTGAGGCTCCCATATTTTCTCTATACATTCAGCCCATAGATGGCAGTGAGGTTGTCATCCTTACGCGGCGGCCGCTCTTTACTCCCCAGGAAGATTCGTGTACTCATTTCTGTTAGAGGCTGAGTGGACTCAAGGGCCATAGTGCGGCTGGAAGGATTAGGTCGATTGAAAAAGAAAGTCCACCTCGTCGGGAATCGAACACGAATTAAATTTCGAAAAAGTAAAAGAGCGTGTAAATAAATATTCGTAAGGAAATCAATGACTAGAAGTGGAAAAAATTCTCGCATCGAGAAATGGCAAACTTCACTTCAGATACGATCCTACAGTTATGAGTATGAATAAAAATATAATTACATTCAGAATTTTTAAGCCGAAAAAAAATCTCTAATTTATATTTAAGTTCCGTCAAATGTGAAATGTAAAATTGAATATGAAATAGATTCAAATATGAGATGCTTTTAAACTCAATTAAATAAGCGAGTAAAAATATTTAAAATGAATAATACCGTTTAAAACTCCTGGACGCGTCTTGAGAATCACAGATTTGAACTCAGTATGATTCTGTCTATCCAGATCTAGTTTCCATACTGATGAAATCCTTACATTTCGTGTTCGAAACACAATCCTTGCGAGAGCTGTGGTTCTCACGACAGCGAAAGAGAAAACGGCTGTCTTTGGGACGTGATGACTTCCAATCCGGTAAAATGTTGCCACCGTTTGTGAGGAGCCTGCTGCCTTAATCTATCCCGGAGATAAAGACAGAAGGTTCCTCCGAAACGGCGGTCATTCTCTCATAGACTACACGACGTCATATTTAAGAAGAAGGTAGAAGGTTGTCGAAGTTTAGGTTGAAACTGCTACCTCCATTTTATTCTATCCTGATGATGGACACAGCAGATTTCTCCGAAATTTTGGCAACCTTCTACCAGGTTACATGGCTTCACATCTCACAAGACTGCATTCTTCTAGTGTCAATTCGATTCGTGCTCATAAGAAATGTTAATTCAAACTAATTCTGTCGAAACTGACGAGAGAGAGAGAGACACCCTGCCTTGACTGTCACGCGGACCAGTAATTAGTTTTCCAGCCACAAGAGCCGCTCCACTCTGCTTCAGGCTTTTATTCCACAAACACGAACATCCAGTGGCCTCATAAAGCTTGCATTTTTATTTTAGAACGACGGCTTATTTTATCTTATCTGTCATAGCCTGAATTTCTAGATTATGACACCGCATTGTTTGGTAGGTTTTTAGTAACGTTTCGGAAGAACATACTGTGGCATACAGACCCGTTGCTAGGCAACGATCGCGAAACAAACGAGACAACGGCCGTTGTTGGGCAGCGACCCGCGCGTAAAAATGGTAATACTGTTGGAAGTGGTGTTTTGTATGTAGTCCGCTCTGAAGCTA